GAGTTACAGGGGGGGCCTGAAAGTTAGCCCAAGGGGCAGGCAGGTTGAAGGGCCCTATGACCCCCCTGGCCCAGCTCCAGAAGCTTGAGGTTCACCCCGTGTGTCCGCGCCCTGCATGACGCTCACCCACCTCCATGGGCTTCACCAGGCTCTGGGCAGCTGGAGAATTGCAGGGTGCCTGGAACATTAGAATCTCATAAAGTCCCAGAGGAATTCTGTTCCCCATGCCACCCCCCACCCCCCAATGCAATAGCAAGAGAACCAGCTTGAAAATCAAGACCCAGGACCAGTCCCGCTCTGTGCCACCACTGTGTGCGCCGGGGCCAAATCCCCAGGGCTTTAGCAGGATGGTCCCTGAGGAACCCTCCTCTTGAAATGAGGCAGCTCTCCTCCCCGTGGGCCACCCCAGGTCTGCTCCTCCTGGCCTCCGCCCCCCCGCAACTGGCTCTCGCTCCTCACTCCCCCTGATCCCCCTCCTCACCCTCCCTCCTGACAAGGCTGCTATCGCCCTTCCCCTGGTGTGTTTGTGGCTGTCCACTGTGTGGGAGGCTCAGGGCTGGCTGCCACTTCACACCTCACCACGTGCAGTCAGTTAAAGGTGCGTCTGGCTCAGGAGGGTGGAGCGGGTGACTTCCAGAAAGGGGGAGAGTGGCATGATGCGGGTAGCCTGGGAAGACTCCCCAAGATTGACCTTTCCACTCTGCCCTGATGGAGGCCACTGCCAGCCATCGCCTGGCTGACTGGAGGCCACACCAGATGTCTGTCCTCAGGGCCAGGACCTCCTGCAAGGGCCACTCCATCTCCCACATCAAGCCTGTTGCCCCCACCTGCTCACCTCCCTGCCCACCCAGCTCACATTTCCAGTCGGAGGAGTGTTTGGTTGGAGTCCAGTGAGGCCCAGGCCCTGTTGTACTTCCGAGTTTTCCCTGGGCTTGAGGGCCACCGCTTTCTAGGCTTCCACCTCCCCACCTCCTAGGCCTCCCCACGCCCGTCAAATCTCACCGTTGTGACTGTCTCTCGGAGGCCCTCTCAGACTCTCACTGCCCCTTCCCCCTCTCTGCCCCACCTCCGCCCTATCCCTCCAGGCTGACCTGAGCAGCCTGGCTGACATAGAGAACTCCCTGGCGGTGTTCTGCATGGCCACCTACGGCGAGGGGGACCCCACCGACAATGCCCAGGACTTCTACGACTGGCTGCAAGAGACCGACACGGATCTCTCTGGGGTCAAGTTTGCGGTGAGTGACCCCCTCTCCAACCCCTCTCCTCAGTGCTGTCTGGAGGCCCGTGATGGGCTCGTCCCCGTCTGCTCAGGAGGGTTCAGCAGAGGGTCAGGCAGGGGGCTGCAGCTGGGGGCCTGACGGGGAAGTGCCAAGTGGAGACCCCAGGCTGCTCATAGATGCACCCCTGAAAAGGGGGCCTTCCTCTGCCCTCGGAACCTAGTGACGAGGAGATTTTGGTTCTGGCGTTCCCGCCCCGTTTCTTGCAGGGGTGTCTGTGGACGGAGACTAAGGGCAGGAAGGTGTGGCAGGCAAGTTCAAGTGACCAGCTGGCTGAACTGCCCCCTGCTGGCCACCTGCAGTTGAGGCTTAGAGGAGACCCTGAACCGCTGCACCCCAGACCGTTTCCAGGGCTCCTAGGGGGCCTAGCTACTCTCCCAGGACAGGAGCCGGTTCTGAGTTCCTTGGCTGCTCCTTGTCCCAAGGGGGAGCCTAGCTTCTGACGCCCCATCCTGTTCTGCAGGTCTTTGGCCTCGGGAACAAGACCTATGAGCACTTCAACGCCATGGGCAAGTACGTGGACAAGCGGCTGGAGCAGCTGGGAGCCCAGCGCATCTTCGAGCTGGGGATGGGCGACGATGACGGGAAGTAAGTGCCCTCCCCCAGCTCCTCGGAGCCCTGGAGGCATGGGTCTGGGCTGATGCCTGTGGAATATGAAGGGGCCTACAAAGCCCCCCAGGTACCATCAGCGAGTGTAGGAAGCCCACCGCTGCAGCCCCCACTCTCTGTCCCCACAGCTTGGAGGAGGACTTCATCACGTGGCGTGAGCAGTTCTGGCCGGCTGTGTGTGAGCACTTTGGGGTGGAGGCCACAGGAGAGGAGTCCAGGTGAGTGGGGGTAAGGAAGGCCAGCACTGGGGGGCCTGGTTGGTGGATGGCAGTGGGGATGTGACCAGGAAAGAGGTTGGCAAAAGCTCAGGCACAGAATCGGGCATCTCTGAGCCCTGGTTGTGTAGTGGTTATGAGTTGAGCTGCTAAACACAAGGTCAGCAGTTCAAAACTATCAGCTGCCCCACAGGTGAAAAAGGAGGCTTTCTACTCCTGTGAAGAGTGAATCTCAGAAACCTGCAGGGGCAGCTCTGCCCTGTCTGATAGGGTCACTGTAAGTCGGCATCGACTCAGTGACAGTGAGTTTTGAATGTTTCTGGTCCCGGAGTGCCCTCATCCCATGCCACTCCTTCCCTCTGACAGCTGCTCTCCTGCCTCAGCTATTGGGTCTGGGTTCTGGGGGTGCCCACCATGTTGTCATCCTGAAGGCACATTGTTGCTCTAGGGCAGGCCCCCAGCTCCTTTCTCAGGACTGATCCCCATAGCCCCCGGCCCTGCCCACACCCACCTCACCCTGTCTCCCCTTGCCAGCATTCGCCAGTATGAGCTGGTGGTCCACTCGGACATGGACATGGCCAAGGTGTACACGGGAGAGATGGGCCGCCTGAAGAGCTACGAGAACCAAAAACCGTGAGTAGCCGCCTGCTGGGGGTCAGCCCACCGGTGCCTGTCTCAGGCAGCTGCAGCCGGCTAACAGTGGGCTGTCCCATCTGCGCCCCCAGGACCTTCCTCCAGACCCCGCCTCATGGAGTGGCCTATGGGCCCCCTTGTTCAGGAATGTGTTGGGGGTGGGGCCTCTCCCAGGGGCCTCTGCAGCCTGGGCACAGCCTAGGGAAGCGACCTTGGCTTGTCTTTGTCACTGGTGGTGACATTCCCTCTTGGGATGCTGGCAGGGGGGCAAGGATGTGACGTAGGTGCTGTGTCTGGGTGGATCTTGGGCAGAACATTCTCTTAAAAGCTGCCGTCATGTCTCTGGAGCGCTTGTACCATCCGTGGCTGGAATGGGGGTGCTGATACGCCCGCTTGGCCCACACTGGAGGGGGAGAGCCCTGGATTGGGTCGGGTGGGTGGAGCCCCTTGCAGATTGTGGGTTTCCGTGTGGCCCAGCCCTCTGGGGGCCCTGTGCTTTGTGGAGCCCCAGTGCCCCTTGAGGATGGGGATTCGGGTCCAAGGCCCCGCTTCTCTCCTCCCCACCCAGGCCCTTCGATGCCAAGAACCCTTTCCTGGCTGGAGTCACCACCAACCGGAAACTGAACCAGGGGATGGAGCGGCACCTCATGCACCTGGAACTAGACATCTCCGATTCCAAAATCAGGTACCAGCTGCTGCTGCCATCGCCTCCTGCTGCTCTCTGGGCCACCCCCACCTCCCGAGCCCACCCTTGGACACCCTGCCAGCCCTTCTCCTGAGCCCCGCCTCCCCTCCAGGTACGAGTCTGGGGACCACGTTGCCGTTTACCCGGCCAACGACTCCAGCATTGTAAAACAGCTGGGTGAGACCCTGGGCGCCGACCTGGACGTCATCATGTCCCTCAAAAACCTTGATGGTAGGTCTGGGGCCAAGGCCATGCACACACGCTGTGACCCCACTGCACCCCACCAGCTACCTCGGGTCCAGCCTTGGCCCCTGGCAGGACCCACCCTCCTCTTCTGTCCTTAGTGACCTTCTGAACAGTGCCAGGACCAGCATGCTGGCAGGGGCTGGTTTATATCAGAGCCTGCCAGGCCAGAGTGGGTGGCCAGCATGCATGCCCACGTGGGCTTGGCTCTCCCTCCGCAAGGGTCATCGGGACCCACAGCAGTACACCAGGGGTGGGGGCCATGGGACTGAACACACCCAGGAGAGGTAGGGCCCCTTGGGGAGTTGCGCAGAGCCCCCCAGCAGCTGGGCAGATTGAGACATGACCACGACACCACCACCTGGTGTGGGGGCCAGAGCCTTGGGGGGGGGGGGGGCAAAGAGGGAGCTCGGAGTGCGGGATGCAAGGTGTCAGTTTGTGAAAGGCAGGGATCCGTCCACCTACGTAGATATTTCCTCGTCAACATAGAAAATGGGTCTTTCAAGCCCGCCCACAAAGGTGGCGCCAAGCAGTGCCCAGGGAAGAGGCAGGCAGGACATGGACTAAGTCCAGCCCGAAGCCTGAGGCTGGCCCACCTTCCTGTGGGATCCTATCCCCTCCCCCCATGATAGCCCCAGGCCCCTCCTTTACTCCCTACAGAGGATTCCAACAAGAAGCACCCCTTCCCCTGCCCCACCTCCTACCGCACGGCCCTCACCTACTACCTGGACATCACCAACCCGCCCCGGACCAACGTGCTCTACGAGCTGGCACAGTACGCCTCGGAGCCCAGCGAGCAGGAGCACCTGCGCAAGATGGCCTCCTCCTCGGGCGAGGGCAAGGTGAGGTGCGGCGGGGCCCAGCCGCTGCCCCTCTGCGGGCGGTGGGGGGGGTGGGGGGTGGAATCGTTGAGCTGACGCGTGCGCACGGGGTGGTGAAGCGCCCACGAGCACCTGGGGGCAGGGGCGGGGCTCCCACTTGCTTTCCCAGAAGCCTCCGCCCACCTCCATTCCCAGCCCCATCCTCTCTGTCCGTCCCGCGCCTCCCGCAGGAGCTGTACCTGAGCTGGGTGGTGGAGGCCCGCAGGAACATCCTGGCCATCCTGCAGGACTACCCGTCCCTGCGGCCGCCCATCGACCACCTGTGCGAGCTGCTGCCGCGGCTGCAGGCCCGCTACTACTCCATTGCCTCGTCTTCCAAGGTGCGGCTGCAGCCCACTCGGCGCGGGGCTGGGGGCCAGGGTCCGCCAAGGGGGGGTGCCGCTGCTCACGCCTTGTCGCCCCCACCAGGTCCACCCCAACTCCGTTCACATCTGTGCCGTGGTCGTGGAGTACGAGACCAAGTCCGGCCGCATCAACAAGGGCGTGGCCACCAGCTGGCTGCGGGCCAAGGAGCCTGCTGGCGAGAACGGCCACCGGGCCCTGGTGCCCATGTTCGTGCGCAAGTCTCAGTTCCGCCTGCCCTTCAAGGCCACCACGCCCGTCATCATGGTGGGGCCTGGCACCGGCGTCGCCCCCTTCATCGGCTTTATCCAGGAGCGGGCTTGGCTGCGGCAGCAGGGTGAGTGGCTAGCCTGGCACACCTCCCCCTCCCCCTCTCGTGCCCACTGCCGCCTCAGGTCAGGAAAGGAGAGTGTTAGGGGTGGGCAGGGCCCACCATCACCCTTACTTTCTTGCCCCCTCCCCCACTGCCCCAGGTAAGGAGGTCGGGGAGACCTTGCTGTACTATGGCTGCCGCCGGTCTGATGAAGACTACCTGTACCGCGAGGAGCTGGCACATTTCCACAAGGAGGGCACCCTCACGCAGCTCAACGTGGCCTTCTCCCGAGAGCAGGCCCACAAGGTGGGGCCCGCGGCGCAGGTCTGGGGAGGGGGGAGGGGCGGGACCAGGGCCCCTCTCACTGGCCAGCCCCTCCTGCAGGTCTATGTGCAGCACTTACTGAAGCGTGACCAGGAGCACCTGTGGAAGCTGATCCACGAGGCTGGCGCCCACATCTACGTCTGCGGGTGAGTCGGGGCAGGAGTTGGGCCATGCCTCTTATGGGGTCCCTTACTACCTAGGCCCCGGGGGCAGCTCCTTCTGCCCACATCACCATCTCCAGGTGATTTGGGGTACGAGGAAGCTTGGCACTGCCTCTTCCTGGGGGGACCTCTTCTCAGCCCCCAGGTCACCTTCTTTCCGCCCCCAGGGATGCTCGGAATATGGCGAGGGATGTGCAGAACACCTTCTATGACCTGGTGGCTGAGCTGGGCGGCATGGAGCACGCACAGGCCGTGGACTACATCAAGAAACTGATGACCAAGGGCCGCTACTCCCTGGACGTGTGGAGCTAGGGGCCGCCCCACCCGCCCATCCTGTAATCACTTCCCTGTAATCACTCTCTTCACGCCCCTTTCCCAGGCTCCGGGGGTGCTTCCAAGTCCATAGTTCCTCCTCAGCCCCCAGGCTGGGCCAGCCCGCTGTCACCAGGCGGGTGGCCCGGGCTCAAGACTTGGTGTGACAACTCTGTGCCCCCCTCCGGCCCACCGCCTCACCTGCGGCCAAAGGCACCCTGATTCCAGCTGAACTGGGGCCTGGCCCCTCGTGTGATTTTCAATGAGTGTAAATAATTTTAAATAATCTCTGACCCTTGGAATAAATTTTTTTGTTTTCTGTAGTTGCCTGAGATTGTTTTGTGTGTGTTTTTTTTGGGGGGGTGGGGGTGGATCCATGGGACTCAAGACCTGGGAGACCAGTGTCACGAGCCCTTCCCCATTTCCCAGGAGACCACACACCTCAAGCCCCCTTGTGTCTTCTTTATTGAGGGTCCTGGCCTCTTGCCAGGACGGAGGGGGTTGGGGCACCACACATGCCCAGCTTGTCCTCTCCCAACATCGCCTTTGGGGCCCACAGAGTCCACAACACCCAGGGAAGAGTGGGCGAGAGAGCCTCCCACACTAGGTGTCTCCCAGCGGAGCAGGGGGGATGCAGCACGCCCCGGGCTGCCGGAACCAGCTTCATTCCTTCTTGGTGCCCTGCCACTGGCTGTGGAACTTGTGGCGAACCACCCGCAGGGTGGTGAAGAAGTTGCCGAGGAAGAGGAGGAGGAAGGGGAAGGCGCACATGAGCACCTGGGGGAGTGACAGGGTTAGGATGGGGGGCCAGCCGGGCAGCCCCACCAGCTTCCCAGGAACCCCTGCTCACCTGCCATTCCTTGCACTGAGGGTCTTGGGCCAGGTTGAACAGGGTTAGGGCGTTAAAGAGCTGCCAGAACTGCGGAGCGGGGAGAGGGAGCATCAGCCCCATGCCGTCGGGGAGGGGCAGTAGACGCGCGGGCAGTGCCACAGGTGTGACTTACATGTCCAAAGAAAAGGAAGGGCAGCAGGAAGGTGAGACCTCTCCACATCCAGGACTGGAAGCCCTCTGGGGAGAAACGTGGTCAGCGGCCACCCCCACGGCACAGAGGTGCAGGCACAGATGCTGAGCCCCACCTCCCTCCCCTTGCCCTGCCCCACCCCACCCCCGACTGGCCAGCTCACCCACGGTCAGGTCCATGGTGTGCCGCTCGCCCAGGGCCCGCAGGCGGTACAGGCAGCCGCTTTGGTAGTAATACTGCAGGAACTGGACGAAGCCTGGGGAGCAGGGGCATCAGGACCCAAGGGGCGCCCAAGGGGCCCCCAAGAGCCTGCCCCTGCCCTGCCCACTGCCAGCCAGTGCAGAGCAGGCCCCGGCCCCTCGGAGACACTCACTCTGGTACATGGAGAATGACAGGAATTGGTTCCGGAACCGCTGGTACATGAGGCCATCAGGCCTGAGGCAGAGAGCAGGGGTAGGTGTGGGAAGGGGCCTCGCAGCCGCCTTCGGCCACCCACCCACCCTCCCACCCAGCAGCCTGGGAGGCCACTCACCAGGTGAGCATGACTCCCGACAGGAAGGTGGAGACATAGTGGTGAAACACCCACCAGCCTTTGATCCTGGGGCAGGAGAAACGGCCGTCACTCTTCCTGTCCCCTCGGCCCCCAAGACCTGGTTGTGGGGAATGAAGCTGACCACCCCACAGCGCCCGAGCCCACTTCCCGCAGCCTGCGGCCCCGCCCACACGCACCGGGAGCCATTGTTGATGAGAATGCTCTCTCGGATGGTCAGGGTGCAGTAGTACCAGACCAGCAGGAAGTTGAAGGCAGCATCTGTCACCCTGAGGATGGGTGGGGTGGAGGGTTGGTGCTGATGAGCCCAGAGAGGTCTCGGGGTCCCGCCCCGGGCTGGGAAACCCACCTGGAGTTGAGGAGGAAGCGGCAGGTGAAGGAGATGAGGATGAGGATGATGGTGAGGTAGAGCTTGAACTTCTCGTACTCGTCCTTGTAGGCAAACCTGTGTGCGGAAGTCGGACATGTGGGGCCAGGCTGGGCACTGGGCCGCACACCCCCTCCCCGCACCCCTCCTCTTGGGCCCCTTTCAGCAGCACCTGGGCTGAAAGGGCTCCGGCTCGGGCTCCAGTGGGTGGGCGCAAGACTGGAGCCCAGCCCGTGCTGCCACTTACTTGGCCTGCTTGCTGAGGAGTGTCACGTTGACATTACCCAGGACCAGGCTAAGGTACAGCCTAGGGGAGGAGGGGACTGGTGAGGAGTGGCCTGGATTGGCAGAGGGGCCTTGGGTCGAGCCCCTTAACGGCCTGACTAAATCTGACTCATGACGCCCGTCCCCCCTCACCCCCCTCCACCCCACCCCTCCTTGGCTTTGGGCTTGGACTTTGGTGGTGCTAGCTTTTCTCCCTGTCTGCTCTCAAGCCTGACCCAGCGCCCAAGCCACCCTAGCCCTCTGCTTCCTACACTGTGCCCCACCCCCTCAGGCCGTTCCCATTCCCTAGGTGACACCTGTGGGCCCGGGCTGTGGACTGCTCACCTATAGACAGCGCCATCTATGGCCTGGCCCACTGTTCCAAGCCAGCTCAACTCCAGGATCCTTCAGTCCCAAGCCCACGTCAGCGAGTTGTCTGGGCCCACTTCTGCCCCCAGGACTCTTCTCCCCACTGAGCTATCCTGACCCTGGCTCCCCTGCCCAGGCCTGCTAAGTCCCCCAAGGCCTTCTTATATTTTCGCCAGCCCCTCAGCTCCCAAAGAAAGTCCCCACAAGGTGGGGGTGGGGTGGCACACACAGTTAACACTGACTTATCACCCAACACATGGGCTCTTGTTCATTCAAACCACCCAGAACTGAAGCTCCCTGGGGCTAGGGGACTGGCCCTGGGCTGCAGAGACCGGCCTGAGCCCTCAGCCCAGGTTGGTGCCAGAAGCTGCCTGGTCGGCCTAGAAGAGGGTGTCCCTGGGACAGAGGGCTGGGAACTGCAGCCCACCCGTTCTTCTTGGGCAGGTAGGCCTCCATGTCGAAGAAGTGTCCCTGGCGCTCTTTGATCTGGTTCTCCAGCTCTTGCGCAGCCTCCTTGGCCTCGGCCGGGAGGGAGGGCTTGCATCTGTGGGCGGAGTCACAGAAGTCACTTAGATCAGAGAAGGAAGCTCAATACCTGCCAGGTTGATGGGCCAGCAGGTGGGAACCCAGAGAGATGAGAAATTGGGCTGGCCACGCCCCCCCTGCCGCCAGCCGGGCCACTCCCCTGCCTCCCCCAGCCCGAGGTGGGATGGGGGGGCCAAGAGCTCACTTCCTCAGGACTCTGGCCAGCTCTTGGAGGGCCTTCTTCTGCCGGCTGATGGCGCTGGTGCAGTTGCCTTGCAGCTTGGTCAGCTCCTCCAGCTTCAGGCGGTACAGCCGGTGGGCCTCCTGGGGGTGCCGAGGGGGAAGCTCAGGCTGGTTGGAGGCCACTGAGCCTGAGTGACCGGGCAGGGGTGGGCACCGGCTCCCAGGCTCTGTGGGATGGGTTCCCCAGAGAGGAGGTGGGGTGCTGTGCCTGCCCCCAAAGTCCCTGGGACTGCTGTCTCCCCAGGACAGGCAGGGAGTGGGCTCTCGACAGGTAAGCCATGGACCCCCTCCCTCGGACCAGATTGGCTTCCAGAGGGTCATCTTCATCTCAGTCCTCCCCTGCCCTGGGCCTGACCTCTGGGTGGCCCTGGTCCTCTCAGTCCAGGGGGAGGTGGGGCTCTCCAGATGCCTTCTGCTCAGCACCTCTGATAGAGGGTAAAGGTTCCCTGCCCTGCCCCCACCACCTCTGGCCCTAGGCCTACTTCCCTGAGCATTTTACCCTGGTGGGTGAGTCTTTGGACCGAAGGGCCAGCTGGGAGGCATCTGCCCAGTGCTTGCATCGAGGGGCTGGGACCACAGGCTAGGCTGGGCCCAGGGAAAGGTAGACTTCACCGAAGACAGGAATGGCTTGGCCAAAGTCCAGGAGAGACAAAGGCCTAAGCAAGTCGCCAGCTGGCCTGGACTCTGCTTTTGACCTGTTTGACTTGCCCAGGTGGGGCCACCACACCCACCCATCCAGCCCCGCAGTTTCCAGACCACCACTGTTCAGTGTCCTCCCACTGAACAGCCACGGAGGCCCAAGGGAGCCAGACCTAAACGAGCCCCTTCCACGCTGCCCTCTAGCCTGGGAGGACCAAAATCCAGGCCCAGAGCTCCCTGGACAGCCACTCCTCCCCTCCAGACTGCAGCCACGTGGGGCTGTCGGGTTCCCTCCTTCCCTTGTAAAGACCTTGGTGGGCGCTGTCCTTGATGTGCAGGGAGCTATCCACTCTTGCCCTAGTGCTGCCCTGGCACTATTCCCCCTCCGGCCGCTCCACGCTCTACCGCCGGCCACTCCCCGGTGGCTATCGGGAGAGTCCAGGCGGGGCCACAGAGACCCGAGGCCTCCCCCTCGGGAGCCAGGCCGGGGGCTCGGACCTCTGACCCCAAGTTCCCCCGTGCCCGACCCTTGACCTGGAGCCGAAGTGAAAGGAGCCCCCGGGCCCCCGCAGCAGCACCCACCTGGATGCTCTGGAAGTCCTGCTGCAGAGCCTCCCAGTCCCGCAAGCAGTTGCCCAACGGGCCCGGGGGCGGAGGCTGCATGGCTGCCAGGAGCGTAGAGGACGGCGCCACAACGCCGCCCGGCCCGAGCCTCTTCGGCCTCCACCACCGCAGCCGCCGCCCCCGTCCGCTTCCGGGCTCGCGCCGCCGCGGCCACCAATGGGAACGTGGCCCGGGGCGGCCACGCGCTGGCTCCGCCCCCGGCACGCGCCAATCCGGGCCGGGGGCGGGGCCACTTGGCCGGGGCGGCTGTTTGGCTGGGTCCTGGCGAGCTGTCCGCTCACCTTGGCGCTGCGGGTGCCCCCGCCAGGTGCAGCTACTGGCGGGGCTCTGACCGCGGTGCTGGGCCGGGAAGCTGGGGGCCGGGATGGGGGTGGGGGACGCTACCTGCCTCCAACACGTCCATCCTCGGGCCACTTCTCTCAGCTTGGACTATTCCAGGGCTCTCCTCCTGTCCCTCCCACAGCCACCACCAGACTGCCCGTTCTAAAGCCCAGTCTAGGGATGTCCTGCCCGCTGGCTCTGCCCAGCCCACAGAGGCTCTGCTTGGCAGACACCCTAAACCTCCCCCAGCTCAGACCAGAGAGGTTCCTTCACTTCTTGCCAGACCCAACCCCTAGAAGGGGAGCGTCCCGCCCCACCTCCTGTCCCGGAGAGTCATGGGAGGTCCCCTGGCCCACCTGGGTCTCCAGCCTGCTCAGGTGGCTGAGAATGTTTGCTGATGGGCTTCATGAGAGTCCTTTGGGCATGGAGATACTAAATCCCCCACCACTTCCCTGGGCTGTAAGGAGCAGTGATGGAAAACTGGGTGACAAATTGGCTTGCTAACCACAAGGCCAGCAGTTAGGGGAACACCTCCCCCACCCACACCCACCCCCAGCAACTCTCTGGGAAAGATGAGGCTGTCCCCTCCCACAGCAATGCATAGCCTGCCCTGAAGGGGCTCTGAGAGTCGGAACTGACTCCATCCGTGGCAGCTGATTCAGTTTGTTCAATCTGGCCTGTGCCTCCCCTGGGTTACTGGTTGTGGTGGGTGGTGGGTGGTGGGTGGTAGATGGTGGCCGGTCTAGAAAAGTGTGGTCAAAAGACAACTCCCTGGAGTCCTTCTCAGACCCCTGAGTGTGGGTGGAGGAGCCCTGGTGGGGCTGTGGTTTACTCATTGGGCTGCTAACCTCTAGGTCAGCTGTTCGAAACCACCAGCTGCTTCATGGGGGCAAGATGATGTGTTTTACTCCCATAAAGGGTTACGGTGTTGGAATCCCATAAAGAGTGTCGGAAATCCACAGGGGCTGTTCGCCCTGCCCTGTCAGGTTGCTGTGAGTCAGAATCAACTGGATGGCCTTGAGTTTGCTCTGGAGGGGTTGAGTGTGAGAGACGAGAGGGGCAGGAATCTGCTCTCAGCAAGCACAGCCAGCAGAAGTGAGTGTTTGTGAGGGGAAGGCAGGGAGGGCAAGAGACTGGGATCTGTGTCATGTGGCCAAGGGGGTGGGGGTAAGGGGGAGATGACACCAAGGATGGTTCCTGGTACCGGGAACCTGTCAAGGCTGTAGAGCCTGAGGCCCTGGCCGGTCTTCAACTTGACATCTCTGAGGCTGGAGGATCTCTGCCAGTGGGAAGGTGTTGTGACATTTCCTGTTGTGAGCCCATGGACCAACACAAGGCCAGGAACTAAAGCCCTGGAGTCCCCACTGCCCCTGAGCCCCAGGAAAGCCTCCAATGGTCCAGGCCGTGGAGTGGGAGGGGATAGCTACTCCCACAGATCTCAGCTGGACAAGAACCACCGCAGAAGGCAGACTCAGGCACAGACAGGAAGGCTTTCTTCTCCCAGACCAGCCCTTTGACACAGCCCGGCCTGTGCCCCACAAGAAGCCCCCAGGTGGCATCCCCCCAGCCCTCGCTGGCCACGAAGCTCAGTAGAGCTGATCCAAGTTGCCCGTGACAAGGCCTCCGAGGATGATCTCCTCCCATTGCAGGAGCTGGTTCACGAAGGCCCGGTTCGGACACACATTACTCTTGCACTTCTTGACGTAGGTCCAGGATCTCTGTGAATGCAGGGGGCGGGGGTATCGTGGAATTAGGCACATGCCCTGAGCCCCACTCAAGTGCCAGACACAAGCATCCAGGGCAAACACATACAGGTGAGGAGGCCTGGCTTCTGAGAAAGAGAGGGCAGAAAGGAGTCCCCCCTGGGGGCGACTGAGGCAACACCAGGAACCCACCCCCAACACAGGTGTGTGTGTTGGAGCGGGGGTGGGCAGTGGTGATGGGTTCTTGGAAAGGAGAGGGGCTAGAGAGTGGTCGCTAGAGAGCACCCATCTAAAGGGCAGGAAGAGCTATTCCACAGAGGAAGTGGAAATGACCAGTCTCCTTCGAGACCAAGGACAAAGGAAGCCCCAGAAATGGTGTCGGGGCACAGCCTTGCAAAAGTAAGGTTTACTGCCCCTCCCCTAAAACACACACACACACACACACCATGGCGCACACAAACACACACACACCATGGCACACACACGCACTCATTCTGGTCCACTAGGTATCTCCTGTAAATTTCACAGCATCCAACAACATGCACTTGTTCCAGTACACACACACACACACACACACACACACACACACACACACACACACACCACACACCACCCCCTCGTTCCAGTTCGTGAAGCATCTGTGGCTTTCGTAGCACACCCAGCAGGCAGGAGGAACAGTGCTACTGGCCTCCTTGACCGGCCGTGGATGTGGCCCAGGTCCCCCTTGGTAAGGGCCAGTGCCCAGCCCGTGGCCCATCCTTCTGAGTGCCAGGCCCACACTGTCCCTGCCTTGTCCAAAGCCTGGACTCTCAAGGGGTGGCCCCTAGCTTTGAAGCCCGGTTCTACCATTCACACTCACAGCCGTGGTGCCTCAGGCCAGCCCCAGGCTTCTCTGGCTCCCAGGAGAAGGGTCTGCTGCATGCTGTTATTACAGCTACGGAGACTACAGCGTAAGGAGTTCACGCCTCTGGCTCTTACAGTGCTGTGGGGAGAGATCTTTGTGCTTTTTTCCTGAAGATCTTTCAGGATCAAAGATGCTCCCAGCACGTGGAAGGCACTGAGATCGGTTTCTCCTGGGCTGGGGTAGCTCTGGGATCCCAATCAAGATTTGTCCCTTTCGCCACCAGAGTGTTGAAAGCCCAGGTCAGAGGTCAGGGGAGGCGCTGGGCACTAGCTAGCCAAGACTGGGTTCCACCTCCTCCCTGAATCCTGATGCTGCCAGGAGGTAGAGGGGAGGGGAGGAGGCACCCCAGGAGCTCCTACAAGCTGCTGTGTCGCCTGACCCTTGCGCTTTGATTACCACAATGGAACCAAAGCCCATGCTGCCCCCAGTGCCCTGAGGAGCGGGGGCCCAGCCCATGATGGGAGGTGAGGCGCCTGTGCCCGGCACCCAGGAGCAGTGCAGGAGAGCCGAGGGCCTCTGGGTCTGTGACTGGGTACCTTAGGGTGGCAGGAACCATTAGCCCTGCTGCAGGACTTGCACAGCTGGGAAAGGGCCCGGCAGGACCCACAGCCATGTGAGGGCACCACAGTTTGTCCAGCAGAGTGCCCCAGGAAGGGACCTCCAGGCTGCTCCAGAGCCCCTCAAAGTGCAGAGCCCGTGTCTCCCTGCAGGACCCTGGGCCTGTCTGTACCCATCGTGGGGACAGCCTGATCCCGAGGGTGGCATTGGTGCCAGGAAGGGTTAGGGGCATGGCCGTTGGCCACACCTCACAGGTCACCATCACTAAGGGTCAAGGAGGGAGAGCTCTGAAGGGCTTTGGGCTTGAGCCCCTCTGAGTGTGATGACCAAGGACCACAGGAGGACAGACCCCCAGTGGGGTAGGGGGCTCAAGCTGTGGGACTCCCCAAGGCCTCTGCCTATGGCCAGATACGCTCTGCCTCCAGCCTGGCTGGAGAGAGGACCTCCTGCCAGCTCCCACCCTGTCCACATGCCAGCCAAGGCCCCTCCCAGCACAGACTGGTTCTGGGGGTGGGCTCCTCCCAAGATTCAGCAGCAGTGCCCACCCGAGCAGGCCTCTTTAGCAGGCAGACAACACCCCAGTGTTTCTGAGGCTCCAAAAGAGTTCTCCCAGCATGTGCTGTAAGGACAGGGATGTGGCCTCCAGCCCCCAAGCCTGCACCCAAGACTTTCCAGCAGCTTCATGCCAGAGTGCATCCCTAAACCACTGGCCAGTGGCCACGGTGGGGGTATCCCTCCCACTCACCCAAAGCAAACCCCTAGGCAAGTGTTTTTTGGGGGCCAACCCCAGTGCTCTAAAACCGTGAGCATGCTGTCACAGTGGGAGCCATGCAGCCCAGTGCCTGGGCCTGCCCTGAGTACCTTGTTCCTGGACAATGGGGCTGGGTCACAGCCCTGCCCTGGAGTCCTTGGGAGTGGCAGAGCTGGAGCTCTGGGGCTGCCCAACCAGCCCCTCCCTACCCCTCCTCCAACCAGACACTCCCTACCCCTGCTCCACCCAGCCCAGGTGGGGATGGGTACCTTCAAGGTCTGCTCCCGCTGGTGCATGAGGTATGCGATGATGGCCGTGGAGCTGCGACTGATGCCCAGCTTGGAGAAGACCAGGATGACCGAGCCGAGCTCCAAGTGCACGTCTGCAAGAGGAGGGAGGGTGGGCAGGTAGGGTGGGCCACCTTCACTGGGAGACCACTGGCCTCCACGGGCCCGGGGACAAGAGTGAGTCCAGCGCAGCACAGCCTGGACAAGGCCAGGACTCTGCTTGGTCAACAAACGAGAGCAGGCAGTCCCAGGAAGCCCCGCCAGGGCCCTCCGACCTGTCCTACAAAGTCTTTTCTTGGGTTCTACAAGCATCTGGCCTAGAAAGGTCTGCTGTGTCGGCGTGGCCTCCCTGGTAGGGCTGGGAGCTGCCCGCCACCCCATCCCCCTCTGAGATCACTTGGGCGCTAACAGAGGCTGCAAGAGCCGGGGCTCTGGAGCCAGGCAGCCTGGATGTTCATCTCTGCCACCACTGGCTGGAGCAAGTCACTCTGAGTGCCAGCTTCCTCATCTGAAAAACCAGATAAGAGCACATGGCACTCACTGGGCGTTTACTCTGCGCTTAGCCTATCTTTCTCAGGGTTCACCCTGTGAGCTTCGAGAAAGGAAACGAAGGTGGTGTCCCCTGGTTGGCCCCGGAAAACAAACAGAGGGTGACCTGCCAAGCCCAAGTCCCAGACTGTCAGGGTCAAGGAGGACTCAGGGGATGGGCTAAGGCCACCGGCCTCAGCTCATGAATAAAACCCTGTGGCACAGGGGCTTCCCAGTGAGGTGGGGATGAAGGGAGCCACTTTGTGGCATGGGGCTCTGGCTGCCACCCCATCAAGGGACAGGTAGCCATCTCAGCTCTGGTCCGAAGAAAAGTTTAGCCAGTTATGTGATCATTGGGACTGACTGGGAAATGAAGGCCCATTTGGACCACAATGCCGTTCACCTGCTCCTGGTAGCGGCTGGCTGGAGGATGTGTTGGCGCCAGGCAGTGAGGCAGGGGGAATGGTATCTCCCCTTTCTCAGGGATCTTGCTTTCTCTGGGACAAACCTGCGCCCCAGGAATGGGCGACAAATTCACCCTCGCCCATGCTGAGTCACCGAAGGGAGCTAAGTGCCGTTTGGGGGTCCAAAAGAGACCCTGCATCTCATATCAGATTGAAGGGGGACATCTGTGGAGCCTTAAAGAGAACAACGTCACGGCAGGCGCAGAGAAACCATGAGCCTGAAGTCAGACTGGAGTCCGAGGGTTTACAGAGAAGGGAGGGCTTCCATGGGGCAGGAAAGGACCATGGAAACTGTCACAGAATGTCACAGAAGCATGGCTGGTGGCAGACCAAGACATCACAGTGGCAGAAATGGGACCATGACAGGGACAGGGATGTGATGCTATAGACCAGCCCGAGACCCTCATACAGTTCCTCATCTTGTGGTGACCCCCAACCATAAATTTATTTTTGTTGCTACTTCGCCACTGTCATTTTGCTACTGTGATGAATCAGGTGACCCCTGTGAAAAGGTCGTTCAACCCCCAAAAGGGTCACAACCCATAGGTTGAGAACCGCTGCCCTAAAGGAAACTGTCCCCACCTGGGCTAGTTAAGGGTATGGTAGAATTCAACTTTATTTTATTTATTTTTTGGTATAATTCCACTTTCTAATGCACTCTGCCTGAGGGCAAGTCCACTCAAGTCTCCGGGTAATGATCAGAAGGAATTCAACGGAGACTTAATTCAGGAGGAGACTGCAAATGGATTTGGGGCTCTCACTGTTATCCGTACTCTCTGGCAAACCTAGTGCTCCAGAATTTAAGCTGTGGAGACTAGACAGTACACGCATTGAGAATACTGAAGTCAATATTCTGCCTTCAGGGGGCATTTGATTCTTCCTTCTACCCCACCCTCACCCCAAGGACCAGGCAGGAGGCCAAGGGCAGAGCGGGATTCATCAATGGGTCCCCAGATCCCGGTGCGTAGCAGACAGCCAGGAGCGTACACACCCCTTCATGGTGGCCACCGAGCACCAGGAGGCTGGCTGAGGTGATCCAGCCTGGACCAGAACCTCAGGCTCAGGGCCCACAGTCTGCTGCTCTCTTTGGGTCTCACTGCCCATGGGCCTGGCCTGAGGTCCATAGAAACCTCAGGGAGACCCATCAGGAAGGGGCAGTAAACACAGATGAGGTAGGTGCTGCAGACCCTCTTCCACCCCCAGGTGCAGTCTGCTGCCACTTACCAATGAAGTGACAGAGGTGTCGGAAAAAGGAAGAGAGGTTGGCTTCCAGCGAATCTTCCACGCAGATGTGAAGAAGCTTGTTGGGGTCCCCTACGAAGCTAAAGAGAAGACAAGCACAGGTGATAGGGCAGCCTGGCCACTGCCTCATCATGGAATCGACCTTAGTGATCGAGGGCTGCTGTAACAGAAATACCACAGTGGGTGCCTTTCGCCAACAACCCTGTCCTCTCAATTTCAGAGCCTGGCACTGGGGATGCAGGATGCTGGCTCTGAGGGATAGCTGTTTTCTGCTGGCTCTGGAGAAAGTGCTTGTCTCCCAGCAACATCTGTGGGCCTGGCATCACTTGAAGGCCTCGGCAGGTCTTGGCGTCGATCCTCCCCTGGGTCTAGGAGGCCCTCAGCACAGGAACCCTGGGTCCAAAGGACATGCTCTGCTCCTGGCTCTTAACCTTGGTTGTCCTACGGTGCCTCTTTCTCTGCTCACTTCCCTCTCCTGTTTTGCCCTTGTAAGGTAAGAGGTAATGCAGGCCACATCTCAGAGAGGCTTTCTTTACATCTGTGCAGGGCTGTGCCCTGAGTAAGGGTGTTGCATTCCACCTTAATCCCCTTACAAAAGAGGGACTGATCACATCAGGGGGATGTGTCCATAATTACACAACTACCAAGCTACAGAGAAGCATGGGGAGACCATTCAATCCATGATAGCATTCCTCCTGCAAAGTCTTAGGACCAGAGGGGAAAGACAACAGACTCGCACCTGGGAGATTCAGGCAAGTAAAAGGCCCTTTCATAGGGCTGTGGGGTGGGGCCGGGGGAAAGGGAGCTGTGTACAGCCCTCAGCAATCGTCCGGCACACAGAGGCTGCCCGATCCATGGGAGGGACACTGGTACCATCACAGCACGGTGCTTTCCCGGAACACGGTACCAACCATCAAAAGAGGATGGGAGACAGTTCACGGTGTTGACGAATACCCACGCTGCCGTATGCCTGGAGGGCAAGGGGAGCGGAAAGGAGGCTATGTCTGCTCCGGTGGTCCAGGTGACGCTGACGCAAACGCCTGGCGGAAGTGAGAGAACAGCCACGCACGTGAAGGGGAAAGGAAGGACACCGGCCTGCAGGCCATTAAAGAGCCAGCGTGACGACTCTCCTGTCCAAGAGGTGAGAAGCTTGAGAATGAACAGGGGGGGGGCAGATGCCAGCAGGGCTAAGGAAAAGATAGACAGCAGGGGCTTGACCCAGTGCCCACCAGACAGAACCCCCAACCAAACCCAACCCATTGCCTGCATCCATGGCTACGCCTGCAATGACACCAGGTAACGACAGCGCGGGATTGCCCCACAGGGTTTTCCCACGGCTGGCTCGCGGGTACAGACCACGGTTTCCGTGAGCAGCCACTGCATCATCAGGGCCCCCTGCCATGTACCAAGTACTGGATAAGCTTTCCTTTGTGAAAACGAGGGGCTTAATGGTGGCAGTGTTGCCTACATTCGGGATACTCCCCCCTGGGGACACTGGGACAAGTCAAGGAGGGGGTTGCAAGAGCAGAGATCCACAGTTTATCCTGGATTGTGGGTTATAGGACAAACAGTTTTAGTTGCCAGGGGTGTGATGAGTCTTTTGTTTTGTTTTTTTTTCAAAAGAGGGCAGTGGGCTAAATAAGGTTGAGGACATCTGGTCTATGGGGATATGCAGCAGTGTGCGGACAGACCTCTGTGGCGTGCACAAAGATGCATTAGATTTGAAAAACGAAAGTAAATTAATCAGTCCCTACGTGAATGAGCACTTGTGACAAATACAGGCCTAATTGATTCGGTGTTTCATCAGTTCCTGGAGTCTTGTTTTTCCGACAGCGCTTTCAGGGTAGCTTGGATTTCTTCCTTCAGTACAATCGGCTGTTGATCACGTGCTACCTCCTGAACTGTCTGCAGGTTCCTGGCTCTTTGTGATCCGTGACTCTGTTTCTTTATCTTCTTTTGGTGTTTCCTGCCTTGCGCCCTATCTTGCCCACAGAATCTTTCAACTTGAGGCTTGGATTTGGGGTGCTCTTCCTTTGTTCGGTGCTCAGTTCTCGGTCTTTGCGCTTTTCGCTGTAATACTTCACTTTGTCTTCGCCAGCAGCCCTCTGAGATGTTCGAGTGGCCCTCTCACGTCATCGTTTCTCCCATGGGCTTGAGCTACTCTACGTTCAAGAGCAAGTTCCAGAATCTCTTTTGCCATCCACTTTGATCTTTCCTTCCTGTCTTTCTAAGAGCCTTTTGCTTTCTTTATGTAGGTGAGTCTTGATGCCCTCCCACAGCTCATCCGGTTTTCTGTCATTAGTGTTCAATGAACCAAATCTGTTCTGGAGACACTCTCGAAATTCAGGTGGGGTGGACTTAAGGTCCTAGTTTCATTCTCATGGACTGATGCTTCCTTCCACTGTTCCACAGGTGGTCCTGAGCCCATTTTAGCTGCTGGTATTGAGCTTCCCTCTTCTTCCTCCGGTTGAAGTCAATTGATTCCGATGTATTCTGCCTGGGGAGGTCCAGGCCGACGGTTGTCCTTTCACTCAAATCCCAACCCACTGACAATGAGGGGATTCCAACCCAGGGTAAACTTGAGGGGTTTCTGAGACCGTAACTCTGTAGGCGAGTAGAAGGCCTCATCTTGCTCCCAGGGAGCAGCTGGTGGTTTCGAACTGCTGACGTTGTCATTACCAGCCCAACGTGTAACCCCTACACCACCAGGGCTCCCAATCCAGTTGTCATTTATACGGTTGAAAAAAGGTATTTGCAATGAAGAAGCCATCGGTCTTGCAAAATTCTATCATGCGGTTTCCAGCTTCGTGTCTATCAAGAGGGCCGTATTTTCCAGCACTGTTCCTTCCCCTTTCCAACGTTTGCAATCCAGGCACCAGTATTTATCAGTGCATCGTGATTACCTGTTTGACCAATTTCAGACTGAAGGAGATGGCAGCATTCTTCGATTTCTTCACTAGTTTTCTTGGTTGGTGTGCACGTACATTTTGAATATGGGCGTACTGATGAGGCCTCATAGTTGTGAATATTCATTTTGTGCTTTTGTTGAGTGGCAGGTGATGTTAAAAATGATCCTGGATGATATAGAACATTGTACTCTTTTTATGCCTCTGCATCAATAAAATGCAAGTAAACATCTAAGAGCCCTTACTACATCACTGTACACTTTTCATCCCCAAAGCACCACCTTTCCCACACATTGAATGTGAAGGAACCCATCAAATGGTAAGGCGTCAGTGGTTTCTATCCCACTGAAAATTCCCATACGGTCACTGTGGACCAATCAGAAAGCAGAGGCTAATTTTACTGATGCTGATGCTGTAACGGAGATGTCTACCGTTGTTTTCTGCCTCTCGGGGACTCACACGCAACACACTGTCAGAGACGGTTCCACCACCTTTATTAGAAAAACATCTTCCCATTACACAGCATAAATGATTGTATCTATTTTTTATTTTAGGAGTGAGAAATGCTGGGAAGGAATGAAGAGAAAAAGGAAATGGCTTTGGTTTTTGTTTCTTTTCTTTTTCTTTTTTCCTTCGTAAGAGAGTGAGATGTTGTGGTTCAAATCTTGGGCTCAAGAGCCTGAAGCCGCCCCAGGCCAGAGATGTGCTACTTACTAATCAGCCGTTTCGTTTGCTTGGTTTTCACTTGTCTGGATTGTTTTCATTGAAGTCAGATGCACTGCCAGGAACACACACTTAATCTTGTGTGATCGGCTCAATTTTCAAAATGTTCCTCTTGGAAAAATATTTGTAATACAAAGGCAGGCACAGGCATGAGGGATGCTGGCCCCACAGAATGAACTGGGTAAGGTCCCTCCTTTTATTTTTCTGGAAGAATTTGTGTAAAACTGGTCTTAGTTCTCTCTTACACTAGAGTCTTCTTTGTGGAGAAACTGTGTGTGTGTGTGTGTGTGTGTATGCATGTGCGCGTGTGCCTTTATTGTGGCAAAATGATCCATAACACAACATTTGCCACTTGAACCATTTCTAAGTGTGTGACTCCATTCATGATAGTCACAATTTTGTGCAACCATCACCACAATTTACCCCAAAGCATACACACACACACACACACACACACACACACACACACACACA